AGATAATTTTCAAAAGAGGCAAATGTAATATGAGAAAAAAAACATAGCAAGTAATTAGGGTCTGGAATACACTGCTTGATAGTGTGGTGTAGATAGGTTCAATTAGGATGTTCAGAGGGCATTAGAATGTTATTTAAATGGATGTTATTTATTGAATCTGCTTGCTGAAACCTTCAGACAATGCATTCCAGATGACAGACATTCACTGCACAGAGAATGTGTTATACTCATGTTGCCTCTATTTCCTTTTGCAAATTACCTTAACAATATTCTCTAGTTATTGCCCGTTTTGCTATTGGACACAGTTTCTCCTTACTAATTTTCAAAAAAAAAAACCAGCATAATCAAATCTTCAGTATTTCTGTAGTTAAGGAGAACAATATCAGTGTCTTTTATCTCTCCAAATAATTGAAGTCTTTCATCTTATTACCATTCTTTCAATATCCAATTTCCCCTTAAGGCTTTGACATCCTTCCTAAGATGTGGTGCTCAGAATTAGACACACACTTAAGGTTAGGCTAACAAATTTTAGAAAATGATTACAACTTGATGTGTGTGCCACCTCTTCTAGGGTATCTTTTTCCTAAAGTTCAAACTGGTTAGCAGGGGGAAGATATTTGTTATGATGTTTTGCTGAAATTGAAAATCTTATTTATTTCATTGCAGGGAAGTGATGCTGAAACTGTCTAAAATTTTAGTTAGGCCATAGCTACAGTATTGTGTGCAATTCTGGTACTACATTACAGGGGGGATGTGATTGTACTGGACAGGGTGTAGAGGAGATTAACAGAATGTTGCCTGGGCTGGAGAGTTTCAGGTATGAAGAGAGACTGGACACACTTGGATTGTTTTCCTTAGAGCAGAGGAAACTGAGGGAGGACATGATTGAGATGTATAAAATTATGACGGGTAAAGACAGGATAGATGGGAATAAACTTTTCCCCTTAGTGGAGGGATCAGTTACCAGAGGGCATCGATATAAGGTGTAGAGGAGATGTGAGGAAATTTTCTTTTCAATCAGAGGATAGTGGGAATCTGGAACTCACTACCTGTAAGGGTGGTAGACACAGAAACCCTCATAACATTGAAGTATTTAGATGTACATTTGCGATGCCAAGACATACAGTGCTATGGGCCAAGTGCTGGAAAAATCAGATTAGAATAGTTAGGTGGTTTTTTTTGACCAGCACAGACTTCCAATTGGCTGAAGGGTCTTTTTTATGCTTTGATCTCTATGCAATACTAAGGTGAGGACAAGGAAAGTACTTAGTCGTGATGCTCCAGTCATCATGTGTGTTGCTGTGCTTTTGGTGCAGGTAGTATTTTCTGTTCGCTGTCTGTAGAAGTTGTGGACACCACAACCACAACAACTTGTATTTATTTAATGCCTTTAATGGAATAGAATGATGCATGATGTTTCTCGGGAGCATTATGAAGCAAAATTGAACACAGGTGTATAAAATGACAGACAGATAGCCAAAAGATGAGTCAAAGAGGCACGTTTTAAGGAAATGTTAAAGGTTTATAGAGCTAGGAGGCACAGGGGTTTAGGGAGGGAATTCCACAGCTTAGAGTCTAAAGAACCACAGACAAAGCCACCAATAGTATAAAAATTAAAATGGGGGGTGTGCGATAGACTAGAATTGGATAAGTGCAGATATCTTAGATGACTGTGGGGATACATGGGATTACAGAGTTACGGAGGTACGAGACCATGGAGGGACTTTAAAAATACTGGCATTTCAAGGTATTGCTTCACCAAGAGCCAATGTAGGTCAGTCTCTAGGGACTGTAGAATATGGGAGCTCTGCCAAAAGTGTGTTGGATTAGTCAAGTCCAGATATAATAAAGCCATAGATGATGGTTTCAGCAGATGTGCTGAGGTAAGGGTGGACCTGGGTGATGTTATTAAGTTTGATTTAGTCAAACTTGCTGATGCCGTACATATGTGATTGACTCACCTTGGGATCAAATATGACATGAGGGTTGTGATCAGTCTGACTTAGTCTAACACAGTTGCTGGGGAGGGATGGAGTTGGCAGCTAGGGATGGAATCTGTGGCAGTGAGCAAAAACATAGGTTTTAGGCTTCCCCAAAGTCCAGTTGGAGGAAATCTCTGCTCATCCACTGGTGACACAACCAGTTTGATAATTCAGCACCTTTTGGAGTTAAGAGGTTGTAATTAGGTAGAGCTGGGTATTGTCCACGTCCATGTGAAAAGTAATGCAATGTTCTAGAATCATACAGCACTGAAACAGACCCTTTGGTCCAACCAGTCCATGCCAAACATAATCTCAAACTAAACTAGTCCCACCGGCCTGCTCCTGGCCCATATCCCTCCAAACCTTTTCTATTCATGTATCCATCCAAATGTCTTTTAAATGTTGTAATTGTACTTGCATCGACCACTTCCTCAGGAAGTTCATTCCACACTTGAACCACCCTTTGTGGAAAAAATTTGCCTCGTATGTCTTTTTAAAATCTTTCTCCTCTCACCTTAAAAATGTGCCTCCTAGTCTTAAAATCCCCCATCCTAGAGAAAATACAACTACCATTAAGTCTATCTATACCTCTCATTATTTTATAAACTTCTATTAGGTTGCCTCTCAACTTCCAATGCTCCAGTGAAAAAAGTCCCAGCCTATCCAGCCTTTCTTTATAACTCAAACCTTCCATACCCGGCAACATCCTGGTAATTCTCTGCTGAACCCTCTTCAGCTTGATAATATCCTTCCTATAACTGGGCAACTAGAAGCGGACACAATGTTCCAGAAGATGCCCCACCAATGTCTTGTACAACCTCAACATGACTTCCCAACCCCTATACTCAAAGGACTGAGCAATGAAGACAAGCATGCCAAATGCTTTTTTTAACCAGCCTGTCCATATGTGACACAAACTTCAGAGAATTATGTACCTGCATGCCAAGGTGCCTCTGTTCTACAACACTACCCAAGGCCCGACCATTAATTGTGTAAGCCCTACCCTGGTTTGTTGTACCAAAATGCAATACCTTGCATTTATCCAGATTGAAATGCATCTGCCATTTTTCTGAGCCATTTGATCAAGATTACTAGATAATGTCACTTAAGGGTAGTATGTAGGTAAAAGGAGAAGGCTAAGGATAGAACTTTGGAAGACACCGGAGATGGTGGTGTGAGAGCAAGAAGGGAGCCTTTACAAATTATATTCTGTTTATGTATAAATATGAATGGATTCAGCCAGATAAGTCCTACCCTGCTTACAAAATTATGACAGGTTTCAGGTCTGGTGATTAAAAGAAGAGTTGGAGACATAAGGATTGAGGAGACCAGAAAGTTGGCAATTAGTAAAATGAGGAGCATTTCAATATATAGATACAAGGAGCAAATGGTTAGTCGGGGGTACGGTTGCACAGCAGAACACTTAGAAAGAAAGAAGGTACTGTATGTATTGGGATACAGAGGTGTAGCATGATGCAGAGACAAGACAATGATATATTTGAAAAGATAAGGATTTCTGAGGGATAGGAGACTATGCAATTAAGCTGGAGCAGGACAATGTGGAGCTAAATTTGTAGGAGACACTCCTATCACCCTCTTTGAACTTCAGCAGGTCTGAGCTGCTATGCTTTTTTCTGCTGTTGCTCCTCTGGGATGGTAGCCTCAGTGAAATCCCAGTAACAGTGCGGTATTCCTCGAGCCAGCTAAGTGACAGAATACAGCTGCATCCAAAGTACAGCTCTCCAAAGCTACTCAGTATTAAAGATCTTGCTAACCCAGCAAAGGCGTGGTTCCAAAATCCCTAGGAGCCAATAATAATTATCAAGAGACTTAGCTTAACGGAGGTAGGAATCTTTCCTCCAGTAGTTATGCAGCTCTATTATTACTTTCTTAGTTGGAATAGAGGGGCAGAAAACTTTACTAAATCATTCTAAGAATTCGGAGTCAAACGCAAGGACTCTGAGGATGTTCTGTGTTATATCTTTTCAAACAGATCTTACAGTACCAACAGATACTTGCTTACTTGATTATTGTTTGGTAGACAACTGAACATAGAATAGTGGAGATATTGTGCAGCTAACTTCAGGGAGATATTCAAATGCAGGCCAAACTTTTCACATCCTTATCCAATTTTGCTTTTTGTTATCAGGAATAGATTAGAATGATTGTTACTATATACTTCTTTCTAATTGAATTAAGGCTAACCATGAATTTGAATTACTTTTTCCAGTAAAACAAGTTTCATTCCATGCACAAACTCTTCAACATAGTTTCATGTTACGGCGATCACTTCGTAACTAAATCGTGGTGCAAATTTTGCTGAATTGTTAAGTTTAGAACAAATGCGCTTGAAATCATTTGTTAGACCCAATCAATGGAAACAATCGCACTTTTACAATTGTAATTTACCCAGGTTATCCTTAATTAAAAGTCAAACTACGCAAGTTATTGGACCACTATAATCGAAACAAAGGCCACTGTACTTTTCTATGCTGTCCCGGAAATGGTGCAAGTATGATATTTTTCGAGAAGTTCCTGTGCGGGCAGCGGCAGATTGCATAAAACACCGACAGCGAGAAAGGCTATGCCATCAAAACGCTTTCGTATTTTCTACATTGAACAAATTGTGAAATAGCAGATCATAGATTACCTTAATGCGTAATATTTACATGCATTAAAGCAAATACGGGTACTTTTAGAACCAACAAAAATATGCAACAGAATACCTGTCCTCTTGGTTCGTAGTACGTGGTTACTTCATACACAGGTATTCGCACATAGATAGAACAACGAAGGAAACTGACTAATTGAAAGAGCTTACAACCGTATGAAGTAATTATTGAATTTGACTATACTTCGCTTGTCAGAGGTGCTTTAAAAAGATTCTTACAATCAAAGCAGTACAATGCATGATCAACTCTTTATTTACTAACAAAAAAAAACATTTCCACTCCGGTCACTAAAGCTAAAAAAAAATTCTTAAAGTCTTTCAACAGAAAAGAAAATCACAACACTCACAGACTGTTGAAAAAGTTGGTCTTTCCATACGTTTGAACAAAATAATAGCGTCGTTGAATTAGTCCTATTCGACATTTTTGTACAGTCTAAGTTACAGCATTGGCCAGAACAAGCAATCAAAGTGGAATTCAGCCCCACTATTCAGAAATGAATCGCATCAAATATTAGATCGTGCTAAGTACGACATGAACATAAGCGTGTCCTTGTGAGGGCGATTTTTGAAAACGACAGTTCAACAACTATCAAAACGGGGGATTTTTTTCGTAAATACTCAAAAGGAATTACAGAAAGGACAAAATGTTTTTAAACTCCCCCACTGAGGCGTTCGATCGTATACCACTGCTACAGAGAAGAGTCCAGCATTTCCAACGTTCTATCTACAACTAAAAGTTGAGACCAAATTTGCAAAACCCTACTCAGACATTCCTGTTGTGTGATCATGGAAATAAGGGTGAAAAAGAAGATCGTTATCACGGATCTCTTAACTTTTCTTTTTTCCTCAAAAAAAGCATTTTGTTTTTTAAAAAAGTTGTCAACGTATAAAATGTAAATAAGTCAAAATGGGGTAAAGTCAAGCACAGTAAGTGGCCCATATCAGCTGCTTCTCTCCCTTCCATCCCAACAGTAGCCAATGGACGTATCTGAGGAACGGGGTGGGGCCTCCGCCGCAGGCCAATGGGCTGCGATGGGCGGTTGTAGGGCGCACGTCTGTTTGTTCAGGGCAAGGACCCCGGCCCATGCGCAGCGCTTCGTGCCGGGGGGGGGTGGCCTTGGTGAAATATCTCGGTTCACTTTTCTTCCCAATGTCCAGGAGATATCGCTTCTGCTTTTGAAAGATAACACAATAAAAGAGATATATCTACATCATATACAAGTATAACCTCGACTTCTAAAATCCTTTAAAATCGCCTGATATTTACCCTTCTAAATCGATGGGGTCATGTGATCCTGGGATCCAGCAAGAACACAATTCAATCAAATCTCAATAAAACACAAAAAAATTATTGGAATTTTTTTTCTGTTGCCTCGGAGAGTTGGGGATAATGGAACGGGGGGTACTGCCAAGCTTTTTTTTTCTCCTCCCAATCAAAATACTCCCGCAGAGTTCTTCGACGAAACAAATATCGTATTTTTTCCCACTTTTTCTGGTTTGTAAAGTAAATATAAAGGGGACAAAAACAATGATCCTCGCACTTTCAGAAAAAGAAGTTTTCAAACATTTTCCACTCCCCTCCTCCCCCCTCAGAAGCAAAAAAAGGCGCATGAAACAAACACGTTCAAACAAAACTGAAAGTGGGTTGTTGATTTTTTTTAAAAAGTAGAAAGGCGATTTTTAAAAATAATAAAGACAGGCGTATAATGTTTTCTACATCTAAAAAACGTGTTTTTTTCCTTACAGGAAAATGCTCTGAACAGCTCTTACTTTTCAATGTGTGTGGAGTTGGATTTTTTTTGTTCTTGGTCATCTCGCCCCTGATTTGATGGCGAGGAAACCCCGTTGACAAGGCACGCTTCATGACGGTGAGTTCCTTCAGTGTATTATAATTTTGTGATAAAATTTTCAAGGAAAAAAAACAACTCCTTCGGGGAGGTGGGGGGAAGAAAGAAAAAAAATAGGGTCTAAGGGAAAATATTTTTTTTGGAAAAAAAAATCACCTCCCCATCTTTAGGAACAGCAGCAGCAAGCCGAGCGGAAAAAATAATCACCCAACAACGACAACAGCACCATCAAAAGAAAAAAAATGCTATTCCAGTGGCCCACTTCTTTATACAAAATATACTCTTTTCCCCCCCGTTTTCGTTCTCTCCTAAACCCCTCACCCCACCCCCTTCCCTTTCATCTCCACCCTGTCCCCAAACTAAATGAGTCATTGTACAGAGAAAGCCGTTCGAAAATATATTTTTTTTCTTTCCGCCCCCGTGATCACGACCAGTCTTTTTTTAAAAACAAAAAAAGATCGGAGCGAGGGAGAGAAATAATCGTCCGAGATCCCTCCCTTTTTTTTCCCTGCTTTCTAAGCGGTTTTGTCTGGAGTCACGGACGGCTGTTAGTATCACCATTTGGTAAATTGACCTCACGGGGTTATTTTTCAAAGCGGCGATCCTAGATTCTCCCAGTAGATGTTTTTTTTTCTCCCCCTCCCTTCTCTCCACCTTCGTCGCCTCAAAGACGGCAAGAGACCGGAGAGAACAAAAAAAATCCCGACCAAAGATGGATGATGCCAGACTCGATAGTCGGCGCCGCCTTTGTGTGTTTCTAAGCGCTCCGTTACAGATTTTTTTTTAAAAAAAGCACAAATCTGCGGATTGCTAGTGTTACCGAGCAGATGCTGTCCCTCGGCGGCTTAAAACAAAGTAAACCTTAAACCCGACGCCGAAGAGGGAAAAAAAACCTAAGAAGCTGTTTGCTCCGCTCCTCCCGTTCATGGCGATGGGCGGGATTGGAGGTCGATCTTTGGTTTTATTTTCAGACTTTTATTTTCTCTTTTCCCTTCTGATGGTCTCTGACTCATTTCCATCTGCTTCATTTGAGGGTTTTTTTTTGCTAAAACGTTTTTTTGTGAAGGAATGGATGGTTTTTTTTGTAAACTACTATGATGTTGATTATTTCTCCCCATTCCTCATTTAAACCTTAAATAGATTGTTGTTTGGTAATTGGACTGCGATTCCGGATTTAAAAAAAAATCGTCGCCTTTCAATGTCCCACTGTCCGGTTATTATTTTGGTGTAGATTATCCTTCAGTTTCGTGGCTTTTCTTCTCGCGCAATATATCGTTGGAAATGCTCTTCCTCTTCAAAGGACAAAATATTTCCTTTCTTTCTTTCCTTCCTTTATTCGGTGTCCATCTAAAGTTGACGAAAAACTACACGATCCGATTTCTTTGTTCGGGAAAAAAAATTCCAAAAGTGCCGCACCTGTGGGCGGGATTAAGGTTTTTGTTTAAATTCGGTTTCAACCCAGTTTTTCTTTTAAAAAAAATCAACTGAAATAATGACTAGCTCACATTTTTTATTATTTCAAAAAAAAGCCTGTTTTCCATGGTTTTCCTTGTTAAGTAGCCACTTCTTAGCCTTTTAGTTTGTAGGCCTCGGAGTCTCTTGCTCGCCCTTTTCCGCCCGCTTAATAATCTTCAAAGGGTTTTTTTAAAAAAACTTGTTTCTATTGATCATATTGGCAATAAATATTTCAATTTTCGGGTAGCAAATACTATTGTTCGTAATTCCACTCGGGGAGATGATCACACTGGCACTGTGCCAACATTGATTGCGCAGTTTAAATTCGCTGTAGCGTCGCCATTATAGCTGCATGAAGCCATCGGACATTTCAGTTGGACAAACGTTTTATGTGTTCCGTTATATTTCCGGTCTGCCCTAATATAAAACATTCTTATGACATTAAGTCTTAATCATAATACGCACTGTACAAATTTTGATTTAATAAAACAATGTAGTGGTTTGTGTGCTTTCGCGGAACGTTTTTTTTGTAAAAGTTCTGTTTACTTAATGGAATGTGGCCCTTTTAAAGGTGTTTATCCCTCAAGCTGTAGTTTTAATATTGCTCACGGGCCAATAGCTGAAAATTTCAAGGATTTTTATTAAACTGCAGTACAAGTTAAGACAAAAGCAGTTTAGTTAATAATTGGTCTACATTTGTCCCAGAGATGCGGACCTCAGTAAGGCTAATTAGCAACTTACGCTGTAGGTCATCAATGCTGCAAAAAGTACCTCCGGTATTTAAGGATATATACATAACTTGTTTTGATTACATTTATGTATGGATTGATGTATACCAATAAATATATTTACATATTTAAATGCTAAAGGTATGCATGATATGCAATGTGTTAATGCAAAATTTGGAGCTTGAAACAGCTGTCCTTTGATTCCATCTGGTGGTGTGTGCTGTAAAGATAGTTATCTTTCAAGTAAAATTGTGACATTCTGCAGTTGAAGGAATTGTGGCCCATGCTGAAATGAACAAATAAGGCTGGAGAACACAATACGTTTTGCTGAATGGGGCCATTTTCAGAATGAATGTTTAGATTCGATTGTGCAGTTCTGGTACTTAAGAATATTTTTCAAAATCACTGATCACACATTAGATTAGGGGTAAGAGTTTGTTATTTGGAACCTAGCATTTTCAAAAACTGCATGAAAAGTACAAATATAATTTACTATCACTTATAAAAGATATAGGTTAACCCTTAAGCAAGTGGGGATACAAATTTGATTCCACAAGTGGCAAGTTTGATAACGAAATTCTTGAGGTGGTATGAATTGACTGTCATTTCCCTGAACATATCAGATTCCAAATGTTCTTATTTCACTCCCACATCTGATCTTCATTCTGGCTTTCCCAAATGTCACAACAGTGAATCAACCTTTATCAAAGACACAAGTGATTGCGGCACAGACCTCAAGCCTTCTGGTGCCTCTATCACCAGCCTTTGACAAAGTTGATCTTACAATCCTTCATCTAATGACTCTTTCTCCATTATCCAGCTAGGTGGGACCACCCTTTCTTGGTTCCATTTTTACTTGTCCAGTCGTAGCTAGAAACACTCCAATAATGGCTTTTCTCCCACGCGGTTGCCCCAGGAGCTCCCCCACAGATCCTTCTTGACATTTCCTCTATCATTTTTGTGCTGTTCCTCAGTAATGTCTGAAATTTGTTACATCCAGAACGCACATGAGATTCCCTCATTTGTAACAGTTCTGGATAGAGTACCCCAGGTTAATTGTTAAGTTCCCAGATGAGGTGGGACAAATTGGATCCCCTTCTTCATTCACCCGTCGCCTTGGTTAAAAAGGGTCAGTTATGGATACCCTTCTCCCAGACCACACGAACTTATGTTTTAAAGGGATCCAATTTAATTAGGTTTTCTTGAATTAAAAAATGTTCATTTATTACTACATGCAAGAAAAAACCCTAGTGCAACATGTAGACAGATTAGAAATAAGAGGTGAGTCAAAAAAGATAGAAGTTTAAAACAAAATGCATCAGTCTCTGAATTATTAGCAAAGAACAGACACCTAAATGTGACTACCAATAGAAGTTTGTGTTTGTTGAACAATTGATTTTATGTTCCTTTTGCAGATTTTTTGAGGTTCTGTAGTTCTGTTTCTTTTCATCTATGATTGAATTCTAGCATTCAGCGTGAGAGTGTTGTTTCTTTTTGTTTCTTGCAGCAGTCTGTGAGAGATTCTGTACCTGCAGTGCAGGGGTAACCTAGGAATAGTTCTTTGACTAACCTTCACAGCATGTGAGCATTTGAAACCAAACTGGTACATACCAAAATGTACAGTCCCACTAGTGCCCCTCACAGTGTTGTCGAAACTGGCTTTTTAACTGCTGTAATTGTGTGTATTCTTCAAAGGGAAAAACACAATGCGTCTGCTCTTTGGGCCAGGGATTTGTTGTCAGCACTTTGTTGTCTTTGTAGAATCACAAGAAATCGCAGTCCAGTCTGTTTGAAGTTTCTTTGACACTACAAGGTCTTACATTCCATTGATACTTCTCTTTCCAAAAAGCCAATTCATTTACATCCACAGCCACAAATTCTGGAATTA